GGTGAATGACTCCCACCTAGACAGTCACACAGAACGCCTGCCACTGAGTGACCAACACCTGCCCTGAACAGTCACATAGAATGCCCACCTCTGGGTGACCAACACCCACCCTGAACAGTCACACAGAATGCCTGCCTCTGGGTGAATGACTCCCACCTAGACAGTCACACAGAATGCCCACCTTTTGGTGACCGACTCCCAGCTTCCTCATGCCTACAGCCTGCGACAGGACATACCTGCAGCCTTCTCTTTTTTCAGACTAAAGCTTTTGCATCCTCTGCCTGTCTTCTGAGCACCTGTCAAACTTCAGGAGCAGTGGTTGACTCCTTTTCAGGGAGCAAATAGCCTCCGGTTGCTCTCATTTGGGCGGCCTTCATTTACTTTCACAACTAGAAAGTGGGGCCACGTGTTTGAAATGGCTCACCAGGGAGCAGTCAAGTGCTGCAGAAAGAGCACAGCACAGAGGGGCATGCAGAGCCCAGGGGCAAGGGGTGCAGCTGGATCCAGACCCCATGGTTCAAGTCCTGGCCCTGCCAGCTGTGTGAACTTGAGCGCTGCCATTTAACCAACTTGCACCACGGCTTCACCCGTTAACAGAGCTGCTGTTAAAACCCTGGTGATGGTAACAGCACCTGACTCATAGCATGACTGGGGGTGTTACATGCAATAACTCATGTAAAGCAGGGACAGCCGGATTTCAATGCTCCTGAGGCGGAGGCAGAGAGAGAATGAACTCCTGAGGCCCAGCAGCTGGGGTCTGGGTGCCGGCTGCCCTTTTGGAGAGGACATGCCTTTGTCCCCCTCCTCAGTCTCTAACCTGCTTCACTCATTTATATCAACCTGGCCCATATGTCTGTGGTTGGATTAAGAACGTTTTTTCTTCCCCCCCACAAATCCAGTAACTTTAGGAAATCTATGGGTGTGAATACTGACCATGCCATGCTCATGCTCAGAGATGTAGCCGGGAAGAGATCCAATCCTTCAAATACACACTGCAAACCTCTGTGATTTCTATAAATTAGGGCCAAATACCCTTTTTTCAGAGATGTTTACTTAAGAACCATAATTTAAAATTACAGAGCAAACGTGACCATGCTGTTTACCAACAACAAAGAAAATTTTCTCCTCACAGATCTTCTGCTATTACTCCTGGGTTAGAAAATTCACCATTGTGGGTCATTAAAGCTAAGTTGTTTGGCATGTTATTTTCAATGAACGGAGCTCCACACTAACACCCACACTCACCCCGGA